GTCGTGGCTTCTCACTTGAAGAAAATGATATTTGCTAAACCCAGCAAATCCTTAATTTTAATTTTTATTATATTTATATATCTGAAAGTGATGGAAAAAGACTACAAAAATTGACATTTATACTTAATTCAATATTTCATGTAAAAAATAAAAAAAGATAATTAATAAAATATATTTTTTTCACCTAGTTGAAACTTAAAATCGCTGTTGTTAAGAAGAATTTATTTAAATATATTCCGGTGGTCTGAGTGTAAAAATATATTTTCAAATAAGAAAATGCTGTAATAATGCATATGTGAAATAAATTCGGCATGTTCACGTGCATTATCATTTGGCTTTTAGTTCGATCTATGAACATTATAAGGAGTTACACCTATATATTTTGCTTTTTTATTCCGGAATTATATTTTAATCGGTTTTTTATAATCCAGTGTTTAGTTATAAAATGTTAATTTTTTATTATTTATTGAGAGACTCAATAGGCAGAAAATCTCAATTTGGTACCGCTCTCGCGGCTCACACCGAAACAGTACTTTATCCCTAGATGTACAGTCAACTGCTGCGCCTCAACGCATTTCGGAGAGAACCGGCTAGCTCTGGGTTCGAGTGGCATTTCACTCCTAATCACAACTCATCCGCTGATTCTTCAACATCAGTCGGTTCGGACCTCCACTTAGTTTCACCCAAGCTTCATCCTGGTCATGGATAGATCATCCAGGTTCGGGTCTATAAGCAGTGACAATTGCCCTATAAAGACTCGCTTTCACTACGGCTCCGGTGGGTTCCCTTAACCAAGCCACTGCCTATGAGTCGCCGGCTCAATATTTTGGTATTAACCATCCCAACAGGGCAAAGCTGAAAGTTAAAATTTGATAGTTGAAAACGCCAAAGCTGAGGGCTATAGATAAGTTAATTGAAGTCCTTTCTTGCCTTTTTGGGTTCAAACAGTATATGCATCTGGGCTCTTCATGTTAGACCTTTTGTATCGTATTATTATTAGTTATGGAGATAAAAGCTTCATAGCAGATCCACACTTCTTTTTTTCTTTTCTTTTTTTTTTTGAACTTAATACAGGAAATTTTTAAGTATCATCCACTAATTTTGTATTTTATTTTTTTAGTTTATATTCAATCAACTAGCATTTTATATACAAAAGATCAAATGAGCTGGAATAACATTGTGTATTGTGAACTACACATCAGAAATAATTCTCCTCTTTGAATTACATTATATAGTTATATTATATCTTTCATACATCTTATTTATTTCATTTTTTTATAATTCAAAATTTAATTGTTAGTCCCACCATCCAAAAATATAAATTTTTTTACGGTGATTAAAAAAAATTAATTTCTTTAAATTATAAAATTTCATCAATTTAATTAAATTATCATTTGGTTTACATTATTTTTTTGAAATGGTTTAATTTATATTATTAATAACTAATGTGCTTAATAAATATATATATATATATATACAAGGATAATATTTAAAAAAATTCATTAATTAGTCTATAATATTTAAAATAAACTTATATTTATAGACAAAAAAAAATATTAATAATGACTTATATTCATGTAGAAAAGAAATAGATTGAAGGATAGAAATATATTCCAGTTGACAAAAAAAAAATGGAAAATATTAGATTATAATAAGGCATCTGATCCACTTTCACATCCCATAGAATCTTGGTAGATGTGTCTTAAAAATGATTGCATACAGAGAATAGCTTTGTCCCTATAAAATTGAAGTCCTGAAAAGGAGTCTATTTAGGCTTTTCTCGGAGCACTCTCCATTAATTCTCCAACCCTATTCTACCATTCCTGCCCTTTGCCCATTTTAGCTATCTATCACAATCCTTTAATAATGGCACGTATATATTCAATTTTAACTTTTTATATACAGATATAAAATACAGATATATTTATTTTTATATTTTTAATTTAATTTTTTGGTTATAATCGAAAGGAAAAAAAAAAAAAAAAAAAAATTTTTTTGGTTTATAATTCGAAAGGAAAAAAAAAAAAAAAAAAAGTGTATCAAATGGAGAGGCACGTATTAAATTCTATATTCTGAATAGTAATTAGTTTAAAAGCTCCGAAAGGAAAAAAAAAAAAAAAAAAAAGTGTATCAAATGAGAGGCACGTATTATTCTATATTCTGAATAAGTAATTAGTTAAAAGCTCGAAAGCCATACACGTTTTCTTCAAGTATAATATTAATTATACCCAAAAGGAATGCACGTGAGTTTGTCTTAACTCCAATCTTCTCCATTAAAGAAGAGATGATGAAATGGTGTGTGTCTGTAAGTACAGATGGCAATGGTTTTTCTTACCAGTAGTTGTCAAATGGCACTGTTTCAGAAGCAGAAGAGCAATCTTTTTGCCTGTCAACTACACCTTCTTTATAGCCATTTGGTGCTTGTAAGTAAGAGATTGCCCTTTGGTTCTTAATTACCTCTTCTTCTTCTTTTTGGCATACAGCCCATTGATTTTGTGAAACAGAAAGCTTAATATTTAAATCATCAACAAGGATTTTATGGGTATTTTCAGGTGAATTTTACCTGTAAAATCTGCAGAAATGGTAGTAAATCATTGTCATTTAAGACCTCCAAAGTCAAATGAATCTATACAATTATTGCCAATATCTACATTAAGCAGAGAAAATCCTAGTAGATTACGTATTTATTAACACTCAGATATGCAAATGTTCGCAAATGAACATTTAAAAAGTTGGTATACCAAAACATATTATAATGGTATGTATATGTATGACCTGAAATAGAAGGACGTAGAAGATTAAAAATAATTATTATATAATTTTATAAATGTTGTATTTTAATTTGCTTAATAATATGTAGCATATAACATTTTAAGCTATATTATAGTATATAAAAATTTATATTTTTACATTTTGCATAATAATAGAAATGAAAAAGTAAAATTTGTATAAGTTAATTAATGATTTATGTGATTTTGCACCGGATTAAAGTGAAAAGGAGAAGCTAAATTGGGTATGAAAATGAAAAGAAAGAGACAAAATGAATACAAAACTCCAAATAAATAAACATCACACGCATGTGGTTTTGTATTTCATTTTAAGAAAAGGTCAAGCTGACGGTTTCATTGGATTTTGTAATGATAAACAAACAAAGAATTTGGTGAAAAGAGGACAATTAAAGGTTAAGAAAGAAAGAAAAGTGGAAAATAATATTTTAAAACCAATTATTTTGAAAAAATTATAATTTTAGAAAAAAAAATTTTGCTAAATCAATGGTTTGTTAAGCAGAAATGAATTACAATTTTAAATAAAATAATTCATAAAATAAGACGTTCAAAACCGTAAAAACACACATGCGTAGATAGAAAAATAAGAAATATTTAGTCTCATATTTATCATTAAGCTAATATTAAAAAATCATTGCGTGACAACCACTTCAATAATTCAATTTACTTCCCCTTAATTGATCAAAACTTGTAATTTTAATTAAAAATAAATTGAAATGATATATTTAAAAGGTAATTTGTACTAACTGGATCAAACAATATGCATTCCTTAAAAAATGGAAGGAAATAATAAAAATACAGCTATATATATAACTAAAGAAGAGGAAGCAAAAGAAAGAGAGAGTTGAAAATGTAAATTTTCCCAAATCTTTTTGAAATTTTCCCCACTATATATATAACAAATCATATATATATATATATATATATGAAAATAATTTATCTAAATTAATTAATTACTATGTCAAAAGTAGTATTTTTTTTTTAATACAAAATTAGTAAAGATTTCAATTTTATCGACCCGACAAAGTACGCTGAAAGGATCATTACTGTAGGAAAATAAGTAGAATTTTGCGGCTAAATGATGCTTTTAGCAGCCTTTGATAGACTCACAGGATTGAAAACAATGCTGAATTCTTTTTATTAAATAAAAAATAATTTCATTCCCGCAATTTCTGATTTTTTATTGACTATAATTGAGTCAAACACTTGTATTAATTTTATGTTTATCAAATTTAATATTTTTAAATAAAAATAAAGATTATACCATAATGTCGAAAAATATGCTAAATTTTGAGAATATTTAAATAATTTAAGCAATTATTCTCTGTTGAAATTATTGAACTTAAAAATATTTGTGAACCAAATATTGGTGGAAAATTTTTTCATATAAGATGTGCATGCCATGTTTTAAATTTATGTGTACAATATGGTTTAAAAATCCTTGAATCTTTTATTTCTCCAATTAAAAAAGCTATTTCATATTTATGGGGACATCTCCAAGAGATGAAAAGTTTGGCTAAATTTTGTAAAGAAAATAATAAAAGACCAAAACGTTTTCCAAGGGATGTCCCAGCTCGTTGGAATTCAACAAATGAATTACTAAACGAGTTTTTTTCTTATAAAGAATTATTATGCTTTTTTGTTACTAATAATATTGAGGATATTAATTTATATCCACAAAATTGTTCCAAAGCCATTAATTTTATTACCTAAAAAAGGGAAAATAGCAAGGAGGAAATTAAAATAAAATAAAAAAAAAAAAAAAAAAAAAAATTAAATAAAATAAAAAAAAAAAAAAAAAAAAAAAAGCGAAAGGCCAAACTCATACCCCACAAGGCGAAAAAAAAAAAAAAAAAAAAAAAAAAAAAAAGGAAAGGCCAACTCATACCCCACAAGCGCACACACTATCTATCCAAAACAACACACAAAGCGTAGATTGCTTTTAAATACTAACACGTGCAAAAACGGCCGTTGGCGGTTTCGGTTTCTCCAATTGGGGCCGCAATCCCAGACGGCGACTCCACCAATACTTTCTCTATACTCTCTCGCGCGCGCGCACACACATACCCTCTCTCTTTCTACCGTTGTAGACCCCACACCGCCCCCCCTCTTCTCTTTCTGTTAAAAAACAAAACGAAACAAATAAATAAATATATTTTTTATTAATTTGAGTCTACAAAAGGCCCCCATTATATAAACCCCGCATTACCATTAATCCATTATATTACTCTCTCAGCGAATATAACCAGAAAACAAGAGTGTGTGCGTGAGAGTGAGAGGGAGAGAGAGAGAGAGAGAGAGAGAGAGAGAGAGGGAATCTAGAGAGAGAAATAGCAATTGGGTTTTGATTCCCGTAGAGAATCGAAGAGGAAGAACAGCGAAAGTTCGAGCCTTTGTTGCCCAATTTGTGAGTTCTCTCTTCTTTTCGCTTTTCCTTTTTAAATGTTACATAGTGCCATGCTATCAATGTTGATGCTGGGTTCGTTTTTTTTTTTTTTTCCTATTTTTTTTTATCGTTGCTAATTGTTTTTGAAGTGCCTTCTTTTTATCATTGCTTATAAGGATAGAGTTCATTGCTGTTGGTGTTGGTTTTTCAGTTGGCGGATCTTTTTTTTGGTTAGTTTCTTGTCTAGAGGGAGAAAATTTTATTTGGAGAAAATTGAATTTCTCTTTAACTGTTGCAATTATGGTTGCAAGTCTGGCATGTGTTGTAACTTTTGTTTTTTCCTTAATCAGTTTGCTCTTTTGAGCTCAGAGATCTGATTTGGTTACTTGTCATTTCTCATTTCTTGCTGTTCTCACTATCTTATTCATTTCTGTATCTTGTAGCTTTTTTTTTTTAAAAGAAAAATTTGAATGTAAACTTTTGGTCATGGTTATAGATTGTTCTTGTTGAGCACGAATTCAATGCTGCTAGAAAAGGTTTCCTATCTGTTGTGTCATAAATTATTCCACTGAGAACTTCTCTATTTATGTGTTTGTGGTTTTTGCGAAATTTAGATGTTGTAAACGTCTGGTTTTTGTTTGTAATTCCTCTTTTATCCTTTCTTATTTCAGTTAGAATGATCTTATCTTGGTTGTATGTGCTATTGGTAAAAGGATGTTAATGTTTAATTGTTTCCTTTAAAGATCATACTATGTAGCTGGATAAATTTAGATGATTAAATATATGAATTAATTGAAGGATATCATTTTCAACTACTGATTCATTGTTTTTGTGTCTTATTATCAAAAAAAGAAAGGAAAGTTTTAGCTCGAGGAACATGTTGGAGGGATCTTATCTTGTCTCAAGGGAATTACCAGCCTCATGTGAGCAAGAAACCCAGTGGATTTACAATGCTCTTCATGTTGTTGAACGATCTAGCAAGCGCCATTTGGAAGGTGGAGAAGATGTTGCGTCAAGAAAGGCAGCCAAGCCATTAGACACCCAGGAGAGAGAGGAAAAGATGGACCTACATATCCTTCCTATGTTGCAAATTGGTCAACCAGAAAACCATCATCAGGCAGGGGAGGGTTCGCACGTTCTTTCTTTTGTGCAGTCCGATCAACCAGAGCAGAATCAAGCAGCTGGTCTGAGTGGTTGTTCTTTTGTGGGAACTGATCTACCAGATGATCAGCATCAAGCACAGGGTCTGCTTGTTCTTTCTGTTGGGCAATCTGATCAATCAGACCAGTGCCAAGCAACAGGTCTGAGTGGTCTTTCTGTTACGCAAACTGATCAGCCAAATAAACAGCACCAAGTGGTGGATATGCAGGTTTTTTCTCCTATGCCAGCTAATCCTCCGGAGGATCAGGATCAGGTAGAGGATAAATCAGATACTAGTTCACTTATTAATCAACTTGGTCGCGAAGTGTCAATAAGTTGTTTCCTTCACTGCTCAAGGTCTGATTATGGCACAATTGCTTCATTGAATAAAAGCTTTCAGTCGCTAGTCCGGAGTGGTCTGTTGTATAAACTGAGGCGGGAAATGGGCATCATTGAGCATTGGGTTTACTTCTCCTGCAATCTTCTTGAATGGGAGGCTTTTGATCCTATTCGATGCCGATGGATGCATTTGCCAAGAATGAATTCAAATGAATGCTTCATGTGTTCAGACAAGGAATCTTTGGCAGTTGGTACAGAACTGCTTGTTTTTGGAAAGGAAATAGAATCCCATGTTATTTATAAATATAGCATTTTAACTAACATGTGGACATCCGGCATGAAGATGAACATGCCCCGTTGCTTGTTTGGGTCCGCCAGTCTGGGGGAAATTGCAATTCTGGCCGGCGGTTGTGATCCAAGTGGCAACATATTGAGCTCTGCAGAGCTTTATAATTCAGAAACTGGCACATGGACTACCATTCCAAGCATGAATAAAGCCAGAAAAATGTGTTCTGGAGTATTTATGGATAGGAAATTTTATGTCATTGGTGGGATTGGAACAGGCAATACAAAAATGCTTACCTGTGGGGAGGTGTATGATTTGGACAAAAAAACATGGCGCCTGATACCTCAGATGTTCCCCGCACGAAACGGAGGAACCGGAGGGAATGAAACATCTGCTGCAGCAGAAGCACCTCCTTTGGTTGCTGTTGTAAATAATGAGCTTTATGCGGCTGATTATGCACTAAAGGAAGTGAGAAAGTATGATAAAGAAAAGAATGTGTGGATCACGCTGGGGGGACTGCCTGAACAGGCTGTTTCAATGAATGGTTGGGGACTGGCATTTAGGGCATGTGGGGATCGACTAATTGTTATAGGTGGACCTAGGACTTTAGGTGGGGGAATGATTGAGCTTAATTCTTGGGTTCCAAGTGAAGGGCCCCCACAGTGGGATCTGCTTGCGAAGAAACCCTCGGGCAGCTTTGTTTATAATTGTGCTGTTATGGGATGCTGAAATGTGCAGTTTTAGCAGCACAGATTTAGTGGATTGTGTCCATTCTGTTGGACCATAGGTTTTCAAGGAGATGGTAATCTGGACAGTGGGTAATCTCTGCTTTCCTTTTTGGGGTAATTTCAGGTTTAATTTAGATCTACAGATATAATTTTAGAAGGAGGTCTGGAGATAACTTTGCCTCTTACTTTCAATTGTTCTATTTCATGTACCTTTCTTTTTCTTTTTACTTTCCAGTCAGAGAGTCTGTTCAGTTACCATAAGGGCTTTTCAAAAGTTTGCACAGTGTAGAACTTTGCACAGATGAATAAAAATTAATTTTACAGTTTTAGGTTGTTTCAAATTTTTGCCAAATGTCATCCATCACTTTGTTTGTTTCTGGTCTCCATAATCCTCGATGCTTTTTCCATTTGAGGAAATGCTAATTCCAACACGTTTCTTTTCGAAACAAGAGCTGGCACTATTAGTTTTATGTTGGAATGTGTATATGTTTCAAGGACAAAGCTCTAAGTGAAGTTAATTGACAATGCATACAACTATTTGGATGCTAGTCTACTTGATATTGCACTGTCTTTATTTCTAGATATGTTTGGTAATGATTGAAATGTTAATATTTTATTCTATCTTTTGAGTTGGTGAGGCATTTTGGTTTCTTTGTTTTCTTGCTGAATCTCATGGAATAAGTAAACTTTCAAGATATAAATTATGCAGCTTTAGTTTTTCAGGTGATGGCGTTAAGGATTTGTCTACCTGAGTAGTTCACCTCAACAACTGTGGGACAGTGAAGTCACCTCTGTCCATTCCTGGGCCAGCTTATGTTGTGTATCCAACAAAGTCCTTTTAATAATTGAAAAGCTTCAAGGTGTTTAAAATTGCCTGGCATTGGTACAAGCCTGGAATTACCTGGCTTAAAATACAGCCATGGCAATAAGTTTGAGCCGGGAGCTTCAAGCTCCAAGTTTACATGTCGACCTTTTTATGATTATGCCTTGTCTGGTCTGCTTTCAGGTACATCGTGCAGCAATTAATTGCTATCCTGGTGAACCTATTTCCCAAAGTTTGCATTTTTATTTAATTCGTGTTCATATTACATGCATTAATATAATTTAGTCTTTTTAATGTAATTCATCGGAATTTGGAAGCCTTGTTGTCTGCTCTTCCTTAGATTTGCCTCTACCATATCCGGTCTTCATTGAACTGACTGTTCAAGTCTTTATGACCATTTGTGTGGCTATAATTTGTTTTCAACCTGGGGGAAATTTTACATGGTTTCTCAGGAACAATTAGATAAAAGATTTCAGCTGACTATAATTTTCACTCTTTTGCGCTGAATGCTCTGTCATAACTTATTCAGATTACTGTTAATATAATAATTTCAGTTTTTGGAATGTAGATTTAACAGCTGATTATTAGCATTAGTTTCTGTCATAAATGCTGAAATTCTTGTCCAATACCCCCTTTCCCTCTATAGAAGAGAGGTTAAAACCAAATCTGATCTGTTAGTCTTAGTCAGTGAGTAAGAGAGAGGCGATTTAAAACTGATACTGATATTTCTGGATGATTATGGATTGTATAAAATGATAAAACATAATGAATTTACTATGTTTCTTGGCATCTATTATTATTATTATCATCATCATTATTTTGGCTTGTGCTATTTCTTGAACCAAAAATGGAAGCTAATGATAATCAAGTACCAGATATGCCAATTTACTGGTTTATTAAATTGAGTCTGCTTCCATTTTCTCCTTTAATGAATTGGAAAAATGATGGTATGCAGAAAGAAGCTGAGATTATTGGAATTGTAGATTTTACTTTCCTCTGTTTTTCTTGAAAGTGAAATTGAAATAAGGACAGTTCTTGTCATAGAAAAAGAAATAAATAAAATAAATAAAAGTCAAAAGAGATTTGAAGGCTAGAAGGCTAGAAGTTGAATAGGCATACCCCAATTCCCCATCCCCCTCCATGTCTGGCTGTGACAGGTATCTGTAATCAGAAAAAGATGGTGAAAATAGGAAAACATAGCCAAGAATGTCCCAAATATTGATTCTTCTTATTATTGACTGTCTTGTATGTCATCAATATTGGATATTTCTAACTCTTGGATTTGTGTACTTCAGCTATGACATCAGATGCACAACACCAGAGGACAAAGGACCAAAAAAGGTAGTTGTCTTGCTCATATTTGTGATTTCCTATGCTCTTCTTATTTTTATTCCCTTTTCTTTTTGCCCCTCTTTCTTGTTGTCCTCGTTATGGTTGAGTAGTTTTTTCCCATCAAAAGTTGCATTTTAGTACTCAGGGTCATGGCTACCCTCTTTTAGTAAAATTTCATGAAGTTACTTGTACAATCTCAATCAGATGGTATTGGAAAATGCTGATATTGCAAATAAAACCTAAAAAATAGAAATTTTTTTTAATTTTCTATAATAACTCGGTCTAAGTTGAGCCTCCATTTATATAAAATTCGAACTTAAATATCGAGCTTAAGGCTGTATTCGGCAATAGTTTTTTTTAAGTAGTTTTGAATTTTTTGACCAGTTAAAATACTAACGGTTATTTTTTATAATGTTCGGTAACATAATTTTAAGATATCATTTTATTTTTAAGGTAACTTTTTATCATAAGTTAACGAACTCATATAACTGTTTAGTTTATAGCTTTTCACGAAAAGCTACACAAATAACAAACAACTAAAATATAACTAATAACTGTCAAAATAACTAATTTTGCCGAACAGACCATCAATTATAGTAATAATTGGACGATCCATTAATAACCAAACTAATGTATTTTGATTTAAAACAATTTTTTTTATATAAAATTAAACTCAAATCATTTTTGCTACAGAAACCGAACCATATTATTATGGTTGAATTGTTTAAGATTTGCATTATTTCATTTAATGTATCTCTCTTCCAAATAAAATATGTGTAATTATTTTTAAATAAAAGAGAAAATCCAAACAGGAAAATAACCAATATTTATACCTGTTTCCCTCTGCAGCAAACAGTTGGCCCTCTCAGGTCCAATCCTTTTATTACACCGCAATTGTAGGAAAGTAAACTTTATTGCTATTGGTAGCCAATCCCAATTATTAAAATTTTACCTACGATTTCTCTTGCTCTCTTCCTGATATGCCAATTTACGTGTTACAGGTAAAATGTATGAATTGACACTTCAAATTTCTCGTAAAATTTAATATTTCACAATTTTTCTTAAAAAAATTCAGAAGTAAATTTATATTTTTGTCATCAGATTAATGGAAGTAATTAAATATTTCTTTTATCTTTATAAAAATATCTAAAATAATAACCTTTCAAAAAAAAAATCTAAAATAAGATGCATTTTAAAAAAATGTAATTTAAAATATAACTGACATCAACCAGCACTTGATGAAAGGTTTCTTTTTTAATTTTTTTTAAACCCCGCATTCATTGAGGAGCATAAATCACAAGACAAAAATGTATGGTTTTTTGGAACTTTCTGGTTCAGTTTCGTTGTACTATCTACATCGATAAAGGATGTCGCACGTCCATTTTATATCAATATTTAATTTTTTTTTTATATATTTATATTTATTAAACTACGGGCAACGGCTTCTAAGTCAAGATGTTACTGCAACATCCAAAAAATATAATTATTTTTTATTTTCGCGTAAATGAAGAAATATTGTTAATAAATAATTTTATTTATATAACACATGAGTATTAAAATAATAATTAATTTTTAATGAAGGTTATTAAAAATAAGGCAATTTAATAAGGATATAATAGACAATTCAATGATTAACTATAATATAAAAAAGAAAAGTGGACTATATTTTGAAACAAACCAAAAAAGAAAGATGAATCATTTTTTTGAGATGAAGAGAGTATTTTTTATTAATTATAACTTGAGTAAGGTAATCTATTTAACAGTATTTACAAGATAGATTAAGAGAGCGAAATATTTTAACAATAATTAAATAATAAATTTTTTACACTTATATCCATTATTTTCTATACAAATTAACAAGTTTTACTTGTGATATGAATTTTTTTTTTTTGTCATTTTAAATTTAATAACTAATCAATCAATTATATAAACAAGCAACAACCAGTAGCTATTAAGACAATTAGGATTGCAGAATAGTTATTAAGACAATTAGTATTGCGGAATAGACCCTACGTGTTATGTCAGTAATATAATTTTATATTTTTAAAATTTTCATCAAAACAAAATAATCAAATTGATTATTTTGTTTCAAAAAATTTTGATTAGTTTTTTTTTTTTTCAAATTTAGTTTCTGTCTGATTATCAAAGCTGATAGCTTTTTCTAAATGTTCAGCCTGTATTATTAACTGAGCTCAATCTGTAAATAATTTTGTAGACAATTTAGTTCAACTTAATTTTAAGATACCTGACAAAAAAAAATTTCAAGTGTCGTTCTTTAATACAAGATAATTGAAAAAATAAAAAAGAAAATATTAAAGTTCATAAAGTATTATAAATACATAAAAATTTGATTCGATATTGGTGATTTTTTGAAATAAAAAACTCAAAAAATAATTTATTTTTTTAAATTTACTAAATCAAATTAAATTAGTATCAATTTTTTACTCCTAAAAAATTGTCAATTTTTTAAAACTAAATTAATTTGATGTAATTTTAATGGCTTTATAGCCATTTCTTTTGGGCCGGGTTGGTCGACTTGAATAGCGGATAGGCAACAGCATTTACCAACCCGTACCCGATTCGTCGATTTTGGAGTTTGGCTGCAAGACGGACGCAGACACAGTACCTCTCTTTCTCTGGAAGCAAAAAACAAACTAAACTAACCAAGCATTCATCTTCTTGGCTCGCTCGCTGATACAAAAATCAAACCAAATACCCGAACTACCCTCACTCTCCGATCATATTTACCTATTCAATGGCTTAATTAAGCTTTAATTATGGACTCAACCATCCAAATTCTGCCTCCGTCCTCAAGTCTCTCTTCATCAGTTGTCTCATTTCTCAATGACAGACTCCACACTCAACGAGATCTCACGACGGTGCCCCGCCTTGTTTCCGAGCTACAATCACAGTGTTTGAATTTGGACCAAACCCTACTCAGCCTCAACTCCAGGCTTGAATCAAGTCTTCTCGCTTACTCTTCCTTCTCCGATCGAATTCATGGCGTATTTACCGATGCCAGTTCCAAGTTGACCGAACTCGCCTCGTTGACGCGCGATTCTACTTCTCTATCAGGTCCAGCTGTCTTTTGTGCTTACCCATGTATTTGCAAACTCATTAATGTGTTTGTAAATTCCTGTTGTTTGCTATTTTTTTTGTTGAAATTACTTGGCATTTGTCCGTGTATAGATGGTGTAGAAGGAGAAGGGAAGAAAGGGAAGATATTGGGCGAGGAACTGCCAGCACTAGCTAAGGAGGTAGCGAGAGTGGAAACTGTCCGAACATATGCTGGTGAGGTTTTATACATGCTTGTTTTAAACGCGGGAATGCGAGTTGAATAGCACGCGAGAATTTCTGGATTTTTTTTTTTTTTTTTAAATATTGAAATGTATTGAGAATATCAAGAATATTAAGACTTCGACATGATTGAACTGTGTGAACTTTGGTTGTAGTGTTTTCAGTGTTTGAGGTGGGATTGTTTTGAGATTTGATTTAGTTTCTAGATATATATAATGGGTGGTAGTGTTTGGTTTTGGGAACTTGAAATGCATTTGTTAAAAAAATAAAAGAAAAAAAGGGAGAACTATGAAATGAAATTTGAAAATATCATATTACCATTGATTATTTTTGTTACTTCATGTTCTTTTTTTTTCCTCAATGTATTGCACTGCATCTTATGTTCATTGAGTTGATATATGGTTGTTTTGAGACATATTCTTGAAATTTGAGAAATATAAAGCATGTAGTTTTAACCATCACAATGACGCTTGGACATCATTATATTAATCTATACCTTGAAGTAGGCCCATAAAGTGAGAGATTAAGATGGCCACACCTTAAGTGCAAAGATAGATTAGATAGGCTTAGATAGGCTTTCTAGTTTGAATAGCTGCTTTTCACATATAAAAAGAGGAGGCACATTTTGCGTGGTCATTTGGATCGTTCAAAGGGGGAGATTGCAGAAAGAAATAGAATGTTCTCCTAATTTGAGATTGTTTTAGATAGCCAAGACACGTTATGTCACCTGATAGTGCTGACTTAGTTGTTGTTTGTGCTATAGATGTAGCTGTTAGAGGCACGAAATATTGCAATTTGGTGATGTTTGCATAATGACTGCTCTAATTGGAGTTTTTCCTCAAAGTTGAAAGTATTGTGCCAGTTGCTCTCATAATTGACATTTGATAAATTATATCACCAAGTGGTTGATAACATTTGCTGGTGGTTTTGTTGTATGACAATATTTCCTCTATCAATTAGAGCTGATGGATATTCCCTCTATCACGCAAATTACAATATAATGTCTGTGAACCTTGCTTTAAAAGATGATACCACTGCCGGTCAGTCTACTGATCGGCCAGTAGTCAAGTCTTTCTGTGCATGTCAACATCTTTATCTAGGTCATACTTTTTATACACATCATTTTTGAGGCAACCCAGTTTGGTAACGCTCTCATGCATAGCATATCTTTTAGTCAATCGAAACTTATTAATCAATCCATGCCCTCTCAGCTTATGCCATTTGCTGTGTAAATTTTTGTGCTACCCAATCTTGAACCTGGTTTTTGCATGGACAAAATCTTTATATGCTAGAAAGATAGCTTGAATTGTTTATTGGATATTCTTGGATTTGAAATTTTGGTAAAAGAGATACAAAAGAACTTTCTTCCGTTTAATTGATGGTTCATTGGTAAGGTTTACAGGTTACATGCTGTGTTATTGTTTCATGATATGGTGTCATTTTGTTATTGATAAAGTAAATATAGAATGCTATTGAAAACTATTGCACTTATGCTACTTACCAGTTGAAATGATGTAACTCTTGCTTCTCTTGTGTGAGATAGCACATGGTGGATAAATTGCGTAGTTTTTTTAGGTTTGGATTTAAATGATGAAAGAATTCAATTAGCCTAATCATGGGATGATCAGAATAAGTTAGCGGGATCCTACTTCATTTATTTATTGAGGTGGTTTAAATATGGAATGTGAGGAGGTTCAGAAGTTAGCAGTCATGTTTCACTGGTGAATTGATAATTGACACCTTCTTTTGTTCAGATTGTGGTTGCTGCCATTTGATTGGTGTCTCTGCCTTCTTTCTAATGTCTCAGCTGCTTTCTGCTTTTAGTATTCCAAGTACTGGTCATCAGAGTGCTCTCTATTGTTTACCTGTGTGTGATCAAGATTTCCTAGCTTTCTCAAATCCATTTTCTTGCATCTTTCAGAGACAGCATTGAAGCTTGACAATTTAGTTGGTGACATTGAAGATGCTGTATCTTCTGCTATGAGCAAAAAGCTAAGGAAGCCTTCCTCTACACAGAATTCAGAAGTGAGCTTAATTTATTTATTATCAACTTAAATGCTGTAGTAAACATTCTTTCTTGCTCCAGTTATTACAAATTTTATTTGCAGGAAATGCGTCTGCTTGCTATTGAAACACTTCGGAAAACAGAAAGCTTTTTAACTTCAATCACAAAGGCACACCCTCAGTGGACACATCTTGTATTGGCAGTTGATCACAGAGTAGATAGAGCTTTGGCCATTTTAAGACCCCAGGCAATTGCAGATCATAGGGCCCTTCTTACTTCTCTTGGATGGCCACCGCCACTTTCCACCTTGACTTCCTCAAATCTTGATACTGGGAAATCGACTGAAGTTCCAAGTCCTCTTTTCACTATGCAAGGGGACCTCAAAAATCAGTATTGTGAAAACTTTCTTGCCTTGTGCCATTTGCAAGAATTGCAGAGGCGAAGAAAATCTCGGCAACTAGAGGGTCATAATACAGAAGTTGCTCTTCACCAGCCACTTTGGGCAATCGAAGAACTTGTGAACCCTATATCAGTTGCATGCCAACGTCATTTTTCAAAGTGGATTAATAAGTTGGAATTCATTTTTGCTCTTGTATATAAGATTACGAGCGATTATGTTGACACCATGGATGAATTATTGCAACCATTAGTTGATGAAGCAAGGTTAGTAGGGTACAGTTGCAGAGAGGAATGGATTTCAGCAATGGTAACATCTTTATCAACATACTTAGCAAAAGAGGTATTCACTATTTATGTTGGTCAACTGGATGAAGAGAGTGTTGCTGGTGTTCAATCACAGGGAATATCATGGCTCCATCTTATTGACTTGATGATTGCTTTTGATAAACGAATTCAGTCTCTGATGTCACATTCTGGAATCATGGCTTCCCTTCAGGAAGATGAAAACTTGCAGAAGATTTCTTCACTATCCATTTTCTGTGACCGACCTGACTGGCTTGATCTATGGGCAGAAATAGAGCTCAGTGACATAGTTGAGAAGCTAAAACCTGAGGTAGATGATGATAGAAATTGGACAATGAAAATTGAAGGAACTGCTCTTTTATCTGGTCCTGAAAACTATAAATCTCCAGTGGTTTCTGTTGCCTTCCTTCGGCGTATATCATTGCTGGTTGATCGATGTCGATCACTGCCTACCATCTCTCTGAGGTCTAGGTTTCTCAGATTGGCTGGCGCCCCCGTTATACGGAGATTTTTGGATTTTGCTCTTCTGAGGTGCCAAGAGGCTGAAGGTTTGACTGCACTAACAGATGATGATGCTCTAATCAAAGTTGCGAATTCCATAAATGCTGCTCGCTACTTTGAGTCTGTTTTAAAGGAATGGTGTGAGGACATTTTCTTCCTTGAAATGGGATTTGATCATGGTGATCAACTGGGAATATCAATTACTAACAATGAAGCCAGGGAGGAGCCTGTTAGTGGCATTTTTGACGAGGAGATAAGAAAATTGGAGGAATTTAGAAAAGAGTGGGTTGAGAAGATATCAGTTGTTATTTTGAGGGGATTTGATGCTAGGTGCCGGGATTATGTGAAAAACAGGAGGCAGTGGCAAGAGAAGGGTGAAGAAGGTTGGACGGTGTCCAAAAATTTAGTTGGGGCTTTAGATCATTTACAAGGAAAGATGGCAATAATGGAAGAAAATTTGAATGCCATGGATTTTGTTGGTGTATGGAGAAGTTTGGCTGCTGGAGTTGATCGATTGCTTTTCAATGGTGTTCTTATGAGCAATGTGAAGTTTCATGATTGTGGCATTGAAAGGTTTAATAATGACATGGAGGTTTTGTTTGGGGTATTTGGAGCTTGGTGCTTGAGACCAGAAGGCTTTTTCCCCAAAGTAAGTGATGGCATGAAGTTGCTAAAGATGGGGGAAGAGCAGCTTCGTGATAATTTGGCAGGAGGAGAGAAATGGTTGAAGGAGAATGGAATAAGAAATTTGGGTGCAGCTGAGGCTGAAAAGATAATAAACAGTAGAGTATTCATGAGTTAAGGGGCTTTCCAAATTAAAACCCTGTTTCTTAGCCTTGTCTACCCGGAGGATTAGCAAACTTGGAAGTAAAACAGGGAGGTTAGTACGGACAATTGATGCAATTGTAGAAATTCTTTTTCATGTGCATGACTGAGGGTCTCATGAGCTGACAAATTTGTTTTTCAAAATAATACAATAAAGATAAAAAATATTTTTATTCATTGTGAAGAAATTTTCTGGTGCATTGTTAGAGGACTAAACATGTTTTACCATGTTCATTATCAGAATACTTTATGCTTTGAACATATTTATTTGTCTTTGGTCTATTCTCTGATGCTTTATTAATACTAGGCCCTGGTATAAATCGCTCTTTATCTTGTTACACCCACCCCCATTTTCCTCTCAAACTTACATCTCTCGTTATAAATCCATATGCTATTTTACCGTGAACCTCAATATGAATAACCTAATTGCATACATTCTCAAGGCATTCATACTGTGAGAGGGTTGAAGTAGTGAGACACACATTTATTACTTTATTCTTTAGGTTGGAACTTGATGAATATTGGTTTAGCAGTCTGATAGTTGAGTATTTAGTTCATGATGCGGGGGAATAGCCATATTTAGTTCATGGTGCGAGAAGTAGCCATCCAACCAACATAGCATTAGCTTTGAATGGGTAATCACTTCGGAATTAGGTTTTAAGATGCATATGTGAACCTGCATGTGGTATTGCTGAAAAGTCCATGAGATGAGAGCAGGTTAATCTTTTCCTGAATGATGTTTTCTGGGCGCTGGCTTTCATTTCATAGGTCATCCTTCATTTGCAGTATGTTCAAAATCTTTTCACCTTCCTGAACTGGAAATGCAAATCACAGCATCAAAAGCTACGGGAAAACAAGAAATGGTAAATATTTCAGTTTTCGTTGTTTTGAATGTGCAAATCACAGCCCTAATTATTTAGCTGTGACAGTGAAAGTTTAAATTGTCAGTGTACTGCATGCACATGCTTATGTGAATGATTTAACGGTTGCTGTATTCAGAAATTTGCATGTGCATAGTATGTCGAAGTGTCGCTATAAGAAATAATGTACAATTTTTTTTTTTGTCAAACATTTCTGCCCACTCGGCGTTAGCTTGGTGTGTATAGTATAGGTTTTATTTAATGTATTAGACATCTATTTTGATAGAGAAGAAGGTAAGAAGATGGTTAAGTTGAAGGAAACCAGAAAAAAAGAGATCTAGTAATAGGTAGTACCAATTAGCTAAACTATCGAGAACAGGAGATTAGAGTTAGGGTCCTAAAGATGAGGACAGTAATTGACACTGGACATTCAATTCTTCGTAGAGCGTCAATATCACGAAGCAGTAGCATGACGTTTTATGTATGCCTCTTATGCGAAACAACATATGTGGTCGGCAACCGGAAATTTAGGGGCTTAGATTGAGAGGTTGGTAAATAAGGCCAAACGCCCATCCAATTATTGCCTCTCTATCTTGTTGTGTATGATGATGGAGAGTCGCATCAGAATTTGAGCTTCTTTTCTTTGATCCAATAGACAAAAGCCCACTTGGTAATTACTGTAAAAAATGAGGATTCTAATTGGAATTGCTCTTAGTGTAGTCTTCTTGTTTGTTTGTTACTATAGCATGTTGGAGCCAAGTAGTAGTTGCAGACTTTGCAGGCCTGTTGGGTGTTGGTACCTAAAGTGATTCTCTAAGTAACTGTAAGATTAAGTTGGTAGTCTTCTCATCTTCCAGTTAAAGGAATTAAAGGAACTACTGCGTAAAACTTTTATCTTTCTCTCTTTAATTATGGCATCTATGGTAGCCCCTCAGGACCTACTTATTGCCGTTACCAACAAGGTCTTGATAAAGGTGGTAAACGAACTTAATTCCCATAAAAACATTGATGTTCTACGGTCTAAAGGTATTATACCAAAAAAAAAAAAAAAAATGAACCTTGAATTCCATAAAAAACATTGAATTCTAATACGGTCTATACAGTATATATAAAAAAAAAAAAAAAAAAAATCTATTTTCTTCAAGTTATAAATATGTCCATTTCATTTGTAATTAACTGAAGATAACACAAGGCAGTGAGGCTCATCGTATTCTATGGAGTGGATTTATGATGTTAAGAATATAATTGAAGATCAATCATCAAAGCTTCTCTAGGTTTTTTGTAATGTGATTTAGATTTTGATGGTTCAACTAAAAATGGCGTCAAAGATTAAACTAGTGTAAAAGGGGAGTGAACCCAGAACAAGATTGTGCAATAGACAGGCCAAAAACCAATAATAAAAATAGAAAGGGACTGGACCCTAAACAGGACCTTTAAGAGACAGGCCGAAGGCAAATTTAAAAAAAAAAAAAAAAAAAAAGCCCGAAGGCAAGATTTAAAAAAAAAAAAAAAAAAAAAGTACAGGACTAAGTGCCCTACATTAAGCAAGGACAAGACAATCAATTTGGTATTAATGTGAATATCTGATATTGAAGAATTTGTAAGAGAAAAAAAAAAAAAAAAAAAAAAAAAAGTACAGGACTGTGCCCTCACATTAAGCAAGACAAGACAATCAATTTTGGTATTAAGTAGATATCTATAATTAGAATTTTAGAAAATGAAAAAATGAAAAACAGCTAAGATTGACACGTGTGCAATTAGTATACAAAATTGGAATAATTCTGCACTAAATAGAAAACTAAAAAAAGCTAGTTGTCCTTTAGCTGACTTAATTTGCAACAAAAAAATAATTGATTAATGGACCCATGTACTGCAGAAATGTGAGACAAATGGGACCTAATTATGTTTATCTAAATCACTAATGTCCAAGTTTCTGCCTTTGTCCAAACTAACTTTTGTTTAAGATTCATTTCTCAAACTCTTTTAAGCCACTATTGCCTGTCATTGCAGCTTCCCCCACTATAAATGTTATGAATCTAAAGAAAGCAACAACCAAACAGAAAGTTTCGTTTCAGCTATGTCAAGCCAAAGTTCATCATCATCAGAAGCCTCAAAAATCACTAAAAATGAGATCATTGATCTCATTTTGAAGCTACAAGCTTTGCTACCTCACATTAATCAAAGGCAGGACTCAAGGGTATAGGCTAGATTCTTTTTTCTTTCGTTCTTTTTTTCTTTCTTGCCTTAGTAATTTTCTCATCCATTTCTTTTAGGACTAATGTAAGATTGCTGCTAATGAATGTTGTTTTGTTGACCTTTGCACTACATTAAAAATAGTCTGAACTAAGATTAGTTTTTTTTATTATTATCAACATTAATCATATCATGCAAGTTTCAAGCATGTCAATGCCTCGACGAGCTATGCTAATAATACACTAAACTGCACCCCAGTACTCGAAACTCTCTGTTTGATTTCATGATTTGAATTCATGGCCTTCCAATATATATAAAAAAAAAAAAAAAAGAAAAAAAAAAAAAAAAGGTAAAATACCACCTTTAATCAAGAAAAAAATGGCAAGGATTGTATTAAAAGAATAATAAACTTGTTTAAAAATCATATATTCCAAGTGAAAAAATTAACTAAATTGTAGCTAAGTAGTTATTCGTAATTGTCTTTTAAATGCTAAGTTAAAGGCTTTTAATCTGTTTTTTTGTTACACAGGTAATCGGCATCCGAAAAATTATTGAAGGAAAACGTGCAGCTATTATTCGGGAAGCAAAAAAAAAAAAAAAAAGGTAAAATAACCTTTAATCAAGAAAAAAATTGCAAGGATGTATTAAGATAAACTTGTTTAAAAATATATATTCAAGTGAAAAATACTAAATGTACTAAGATATTGTAATTGTTTTTAATGCTAAGTTTAAGGCTTTAATCTGTTTTTTGTTACAGGTATCGGCATCGAAAATTTTGAAGGAAACGTGCAGCTATATCGGGAAGCTACAAAGAGAGGTGGATGACTTGAGCGAAAAACTATCTCAAATGCTGGATTCTATGGACATATCTAATGTTGATGTAGAATCCCTTATAAGTATTCTACTACAACAGTAATGCAAGCTTACCCAATACCCTGCTTTTCTTTTCTTTTCTTTTCTATCTATTTGCTGATTGGGAATCCTTCATGCTTCCACCTAGTATTCTGCTATGTTTTAATTTCATAATATTATGGAGTTTCTTTTTCTAGTTTATCTGTCTCAATTTTTGTCCTGCTCTGCCTTAAATATCAAATATAGCTTGCATTCCTCAACTAATTATTAGTATTGGGTCCCTCATCTTAATCTTTTTTTTATATTTGTTTACCTACTGACGAGAAATATAACTGTGGCTGCCATATCATAGGATTACAATAATAATATTTGTTTTGCCCTATGATCTTATCTCCACCTTGGTTAGTAGTCTCACATTTTGCTATTTCAAAATCTTTTAGACCCTGAGATCATTTAGATTTTGAATGTGCACAATAGGGATTATCTTTAAGATATTATCATCTAGTGTTCTACTGGCTCAATAGCAACTAGACCATCTCTTCCTTAAAGAATTACTCATGTACGAACAAAGTTAACCAAGTAATGGATGATTGATAAGAGATCAAACTATAATTAGAACATTTGCAGTGGAAAATGCTGCTCTCAGAACCTAATCAAGGGTATTCACAGAGTACTTCCACAAAAAATTTCAACACCTACAAACTAAAGCCGACAGTTTTGGAAGATTCTGCCATTTGGATGCTTCTGAGTACATATTTGGTCAACAAGTTTCAATCTTTCACGTTCTTGCTCAAGGGAAATATGAGGCATACAAAGCACACAACAAAATTACAATCATTTATTTCCATTCCGCTGTGTTAATCAACAACCACCACCAAACCCAGAAATCAAAATTACATCAAATTCAATTTCTTATTACATCAATAGGGCTTACGTTGCAACTTTGAGACTATTAAGGAACTCCAACAACAAAAATTTATTTACACATATGACATCTTTTACAAATGCACAGTACAGAACTATGGTAAAAAAAATTACAAATTTTAACACCAACAGAAGAGGAAAAAAGAATCAATGCATTTTGAGATCAAACTTTTCAAGAAGATTCTGCATATTAGCAAGAATAGCTAAGTTATTGCTTAAGAATTCCTTCGAATTCTCCATTTTGACTTTGACCTCATCAAGAACCGTTGATCCCATCTCCTCCAAACCATCCAAGCAAGTCTGTTGGTTAGTCATGGCAGCACTGATCCATGTCTGAATATCACTGATCTTCTTCAAAGTCAACGCCTTTTCCCCTGTGCCAACCTCCATTGCCGACATCGAATCGTTGAGTAGACTCATCGATTCGTCAAACTGACTCAAACAGTCGTTTATAGCAGCCTGAGAGTTAACGTCGTTAAGGGATCTCAATAGCGAAGAGACATTTTTGACTTCTTTAATGGAGACTTGAAGAGAGAGATTGAAGATGGCTTGTGGATCAGGTTTTATCGAGGCATTAAGAGAGGATATGCTGGTGAAGCAAGAAACTGGATAACGAGTCACGTTACAGACAGTTTTAATCGAGTCGGCGGAGTTGGAAGAGGAAAGAGATGGGGAATCGTCAGACTCGGTGTTGGACTCATGGATTAAAGCTGCAAGCATTAGAGAAAGGACTAGGGTTAAGAGAAGAATGGCCGAGATGCTGAGTAGGGTTTTTCTGATGGTTCTGGTATGGGTATGATGGTGGTTAGGGTTTTGATTTTCAAGATTGGAGTTTACTTTGCCATATCCTTTGAGAACATTAATGGATTCCATGGCTGTTTGAATGGGTCTAGCAAAGCAGAAGAAGTTCGGACAAGAAGAAAAGAAAGGGTTTTTGTGTAATATAATGATTAAGTCCAGGTTTCTAGACTTGTAGTGGGTTTTGATTCAGCCAAACCAGAGGCGCACTAGTCATCTACAAGAACCTGTCAAAACTGATTTAAAAAAGAAGTCTGTAGGAGTCTGAGATCGAGAAACATTGTGAACAATTCGTGGTAAATAACTTTTTAGTCCTTTAAATTTAGTTATAATTACAAATGAATTTTCTTGTTCAATAAATACACTAATTAACCCCAAGATTTAAGCTCCTTTAAATCATTTAATCTTAAACCAGAATGACCAAATGGTTACATATTACAAAAGACTTGACCCTTTTTTTTTTCTTTAAAATGAGTCAAATAAAATTAAACCTTACCCATTTTATTTGACTCGTTTAAAAGAAAAAAAAAGGTCAAGGAACCATTTATCCATTTTTATGTGATTAGAAGTGAAATCACTGAAAGGTAAAGAAAAAGAAGTCGGTTCAATGTACGATGGAGTGAATTACAAAGCAAGAGAACACAACTTCTCCGCAAGTAAAAGTAAAACATAAATATAGGCTTCAAAGATTAAAGACACCAACCTACGGTAGAGTAGATTATGGTTCAAGGGCAATAATCCAATGACCTACAAATCCATAAAGGATAAAATGGATGTTAGGCTCCAGAGTTCCCAACACTTTTGACAATTGGACCTAAGAAAACACAATATTTCAATAACCAGAAAGATTCGCTGTCATTTGATGCCAAAAAATAAATCCTCAACAAAGGTCTTTAGGTACACAACTTAATGCATCACAAAACAAAGCCAATATCAAAGTTCAGAAACCAAAAACATTTAGAGCGGTAATATTTTTTTAACAGACTAGCCTCATTAGGGGTAACAACAAAACTAGCTGAGTAAACAGAGAGTTCTACTAGCATCCGTCCTAAAAGTATGGCTCACTCCTCATCCTCTTCGTCTCCATCTCCACCAGAAGCCTTCTTGCTAGCTGCCCTCTGGTTCTTTCTCTTCACTCTTCCTGGGCGACCGCCACCGAATGGACTTGTCAAAGAGAAATCAATGTGCTTTTGTGAATCAACCCTCACCATAAAAGATGGGATATTCACCACCTGCCTTCCAACCCTGCCAACCAAAAACCAATTATAGCATGTAGAGCATATTTATGAAAGTGACCCTATCAATCTTTAAGAATACAACTGATCATATAATAACTGTATTTCAAAATTTTCTGGAATCTGTTGTTAAAAAAAAAAATGAGTCTTCAGAACTGAGCAAAAACATCAGCACTTTTGGGAGTGCTCCAAGGAAAGAGTATCTTTTTAATATGGGGTAAAAGTGCCAGCATAAACTGAATCACAAGCACCAACTAACCAAATAATGATTTCAGCACGCTCATAGACATCAACTTCCTGAATTATACATAAGCTTATGATTCAGTATCTCATCAAAATATGAAATTCTAGTTGTTCCCAGATTTTTTTCTATGACCGAGAGATCCATGAATGGGGATCCTAATGCATATAGATACATCTGGTCTAATGGGAACAAGAGTTTCAAGGAATATTTGGAACATTGGATCTTGATGTTCCAACAGAGGAATTGCTGTTCAAGAAAAACATTATTATCAGGTTTTGATAATTAGTGAAGCTATTTGAATTAGGATTGGAGCCAAAACATAAAGCTAATTCCCCATGAAATTCGGACAAAGAGAAGAACTTTCAGTTGTATTTCAAACAACCACCAAGAGAAACAACATTCCAAAAAATGACCACCACTACCATAGCACAAAGATTGAACAGCAAGCAGTAGCAACTTATTCACAAATTGCCTTCTTCACATAGCATACTTCTGCTCTTTATCACCAGAAACACTGTAATTCGAGTCTCAGCAATGGAAAAAATATAGAAACCATTGCCACGTACAATTCTCTCAATCATAGAAGATTTCCCTTCCTAAGCCATTGACACACAAGGATGTACACATGACATTGGGTCACCACCACAAGATCTATCAGACATAAACAAACATGTAAACCTAACACAAACACTTTATTCTACACTGGCCAGAACCTATTTTGTCAATGTCAAAGTATAGAACTGTAATTCTGTCAAAAAAAAAATTGACCTAATTCAGCAAATAACCGGAAATTTTACATATTTAAGGCTAATAACCAAAACAGCAGCATAATCTACGAATATTTCAGTGTAAAGCAAACATGACAAACTTTTAGGTTGTATTGCTCACCTAATATGCCTCTGCCTAATAAGCACTCGAGCATGGTGGATAGACTTAGCCATACCAGACTTGAAAACAAGTGTCTGCAGGCGACGCTCAAGAAAGTTCTCCACAGTCAAAGCCAACACATAATCAAGCTTGTTTTGACTCTCATCCAAAAGACCATATCTATTCATCCTGCGGAGAAGAGCCTCACCCTCAAAGATCCGGCGTGGGTTCTTCTCATCCAGAGTCAAAAGCATTCTAGCAGCATTACGAATACGGCTCAATGCATACTGAACCCTCCACAGCTCTCTCTTGCACCTCAAGCCATACTCACCCACCAACTTCAGCTCTGCATCTAATCGCTCCTTCTCATAGGGACGACGGGGCTTCTTAAATGTCTTCCCATCTAATTAATACAAAATTGAAGTGCAAATCAGAAATCAAACAAAAAACATTTATCAAACAAACAAAAAAGGAGATATACTATGAGTAGAAACTGTTCGAAAATTAGCAAGGTTACAAACCAAAATGCTTAATTCTGACAAGGTAGAACTTTCCATTTCATTAGACCAAAATTTCAAGGTACAAATATTCACAGCTTCACAACCAAATACCCTTCTGTTATCATGCATTTTTTGGCAATGAGAAGTAACAGAAAAACCTCAACAGAGCATAACGTAAACCTTATTCACCAAAAGCGCACAAGACAAGAACAAGAGATACTAAACCTAAGCACGATTTCCTCAGCAATAAACGGCGTAATAAAAAATCAGGTAGATATGTGCGGATCACACATCAGAAATAATTAAAAAAAAAAAACAGAACTTTACAACAAAGAAACATCGAATGGAAGATTTCCACATCAAACCTTTTACTTAACCGGCAAATCGCAATAACAACCGCTATAAAGTAATATAGCTATGAATCTCTAACAAAATGTATAGAAGAATAGAGGGAGAGGAAGGAGAAAGATTACAGTTGCGATAGAAGGAGACGTGCACCATGGCTCTGCTGTGACGGGGCCGTTTCTCTCACAGTCACAGGCGCTTGATGTCTCTCTAGGTTTCTGCTCTTGAAAATGAGCGCTTATAAAGGAATGAAACCCTAAAACCCTATGCCTCTCTAGATTGCTAATATACTTGTTGCCAAACAGTCAACTTTTTGTTATATGAGGGCTTCGTCTATATCCCAGCCCATTAAGATTTGAAAAAAAATTCAATTACAAAGACTGGGCCATGGGCCTGGAGTTGGATTATTATGAGTATGAATGAGTGTTTTAACGAAGCCCATTTTGGAGGTTGACAATAGCCCATGGCTTTGGGGTTGTGATGTATACTGACAAAAGATTAAATTGAGACATCCATCATAATTTTGATTTGGCATATGCTAATAATAGAGATATGTTTTTCACAAATTAGAAAACAAAAGTTTGCATATCTACTTGAATTGGTTAGCATTTCTTGTTTAATGCTTTTCAATTTATAACTAGTTCTGTACCTGTGCCCTGAGCAAAATATAATACACTGCCCCATTATTATTTAATTATTATCTCCATAAAATTTAAAAAAATAAAATTAATATTTTTAAAATAAATAATTTTTATCAACTCTCAAATCAAATAGAAATCTTGGGCAAAAAAAAAAAAAAAAGAAAAAGAAAAAGAAAACAAAAAGAAGTGCACAAAAATGTCAATCAAGAAATAAATTTTAAGCCAATGCGTGGGATACAATAAACACATTGAAATCTTCTATCAAGAAGATTTCAATGCAAAATTTTTTTTTTTTTTTCATTTATGGGACAGGCACATTATTTTAAGAAATATTTTTTTAAAAATCATATTATTTTTGAAATAAATATTTGAGAAATCTTGACGGGAGCGGTGAAGGGGCTCTGGTTCGAGTCCTATAATCCCTCGAACGCAATAACATATTAACAAGTGATTAACAACTAACTTGTATTTTATAACAATGGAAAAAAGAAAGAGAGTGAGATGTTGAGAGGCACACTGAAGACAGGAGGAATCTTTGTACATATCAACATCAATTGGTGCAACTTCTTCTCTTCACATTGAAGCTCAATACCTTTTTTGCAAGCTTTAGCTTCAAGGCTTTAAGAAGAATTGGCATAATCTACATCTTATCCATAAATAACCAAACATCCCTTGAGTCTAGCTTTTGCCTTTTTGAAATTTTATCATAATTATTTTAAAATTTTTCGAGAGTATATATATAAATATGAAATCAAGACATCCTTCTTCTTCTTATTATTATTAAATAAGTACCAATCCCCATAATACATGGCTTTTAAAAATTTGATAATTCTATTATTTCTTTAAAAAAATTTACATAAAAAATTTTGAAATTATGAGTAGTAGGCTCTTCCTTTCAAGAATTGTTTTATAAGGAAAAACAAAGAAATAAAAGTGGAAGCAATAGTTCTAAAAACATAATCACATGCAAAAACATGAAGGTTGTTTATTTAGTTTGGCCAATGAAATAGACTTAGTGGCCATTAGAAGAAATAAATCAATTTCTGATATGAGATATGGACAAAGACTAAGTGCTTCTTGTCTTCATCAGCTCCCTCTAATTATTATCTCTTGTGGTGTTTAAGTTTGGATTTCTTTTTCCTTTTATTTTCTTTCATTTCTGTTCTCTAAATCAGCCGGTTGTGTTATTCTCATGATATTGACTCATTTCACATGTAGAAATTAGACAACCTAATATATATTTTGAGGTAGGCTTTTCTTGTCCCCACTTAGACATCCTAACCATAATACATAAAGGTCCCTTCTCCATGCCTATGCGATAGAAATCAAATTAAAAGGTACACATGGAAAGATACAAGTTTTGTTTCATTGCATTTAATACTTTTTTTGTAAATTTTTGTTTCATTGCATTTAATATTCTATTTCTCATATTAATGAAAAACCAATCAAACTACGTATAATTAGCTGCATTCAATGCTTTTTATTTGACATGGTGATAAAAATAATTTATAATATTTAGATTAATTCATCAATTAATATTTTGTCCTACAAAACATTAATTAATATGGGTCCTTTGATCTAGATCATACAAACTCAAAAAAAAAAAAAAAAAAAAAAAAAAAAAAAAAAAAAAAAAAAAAAAAAAAAAAAAAAAAAAAAAAAAAAAAAAAAAAAAAAAAAAAAAAAAAAAAAGAAGGAAAGGAAGAAAGAAAGCACAGGGTATTTTGCATATAATATAATGAATTCTACACGAAAATTTTTGTGTATATTCTACATTTATTGTATAAAAATGCAAAAGAAATGTTTCAATTGCTATATATATATATATATATATATATTTTTTAATATGGAAAAAGGTAATCTTTTACATGACACCCCTCTAGGTAAGTACTGATTTATCAAAATAATCTTCTTTTTTTTTTTTTTAAGAATTATTATTATTGAGATAGATCATCCTCTCAATGTAATAATAATCCACTTTTTTTTTAAATAAGACTAAATTATTCATTATAATAAAACGTGTCTTAACACTTGAACCACTCTTTATAATTATTATTAATTATAATGTTTGAATATCAAACCACTATTATTTTTTTTATACAAATATTTTCTTTTTAATATCTAAGGAGAGAAAGTTTTCATTCTTTTCATATGCATTTATTATTAGAAAAAATTTAAATAATTTTTTTGGATGTTAATTATAATTTTATTTTGAGATTCATAACTACCCCTTTTCATTAATTCATTTTATTTTAAAAAACTGCTTATATAACATAATGATGTCTTACAATAGTAAAGATTTACAAAAATAAATATTTTATAAAGTTATAAAAATAAAGCAAATAGTAGAAAATATCAAAATTGTCATCTCATCTTGAAGGTCACCGGTTCACCGAATCAATAATTTTAGATTTATGAGAATCAAAATCAAAATATCGACTTTAGTCCTTCTATTTTCGGTTTCAATATAATTTTGAAACTTTTTTTTTCCTTTTATTGAAAGTTATTAAAATCATTATCAAAATGGGCATAATTTTTTGCCAATTCCAATTTTAACCATTTTAAGTCAGTTTCCTTTTTCAAAATTAAAAAATGAATTGGATCCACCCCTATTCGATTTTGATCCAGTTCAAAATCTAATACTGTCAATCAATTTTATTCTGATTAAAAATCAAATCAATTATAGTCTAAATTGGACAAGCAACCATGTCCATCTCGCCTGCTCACTTACCATTTATAAATCATCCCTTACAAGAACATTAAAGAACAGAAAGGAAAATTCCAATCTCCTGGTAATATATATTTTTGTATATAGAACCATGAAAATCGATACGATATCAATTTAATTTTCTGGGTATAATCAGTAAGTTTGCTATTATTTATAATCGATAAGATTCGAACTCAAAACATTCCACTGCTCACGTCAGTGAGGAAAGATGAATCAGCCCACATATAATTGGCAAAATTTTATAATTTTGTTTAAAAAAATAAAACAAATTTATGTTTTTACTAAAATGGGAATTGTAGTTTAATTTTTTAACAAAAATGGGAAGTAGAGTTGGATTGGTTAAAATTAATTAAAAATTGTACGTTAGGATAGAAGAAAAAAGGGGGGAAATGGTGAATAACGCACATTAAATGGGCTGGTTGTTATCGATACCAGACAACTGAAAACCATTGCTCCCATTTGTCGCCTTCTTTCTCTATCGCCATTCATTTCTCAGTAAGTTTTCAGTTTATATAACCAAACATTTTTAAATTCAATTTTAAAAAACGTAAGAATCCCTAATTTCATGCTCATGCTCTCGTCTCTGATCCTTCCTTTGCACTGAATCAAAATATCCTATATTTTCATCCCTTTTTCCCTTCTGTTTCTCTGTGTTCAAGTTTTTTCCTTTTTGAATTTGGGTCTTTTTTTTTTTTTTTTTAATTTTTTTTAATATGCACTTGAATCCAAAATATCCTATATTTTCATCCCATTTATTACCCCTTCCTGTTTCTCTGTGTTTCAAGTTTTTCCTTTTGAATCTTGGGTCTTTTTTTTTTTTTTTTAATCTTTTTTTCACGTTAGAAAAAAAGAGAAATGGCATCGAAGTATAGGGGATGATGATTAGTGCATATTTTTGTTGGAAAGGAATGAGATTTTAAACCTGGAATCAACAATAGGCTTCAGCTCCAACCTCACTCGCATCGAAGAGGTTTTTCTTTTTTCCTTTTAATTATTGTACTTGTTTTTCAGTAGTTATTTGGTCGTGATAATTGGTTCTTGTTGGTTGTTAAATTTTTTGAATTTTTCTCTAGATTTGAATGTTAATGTAGGTTCTTGATTATGTACTCGCTTGGGAGGCTTTTAATAAGAATTTTCAAGCAATCACTTGCAAGTTAATTCAAAATGGGTTTTTGTTTTTTTTTCAGAAAAACGCGGCTTTTGACCACAATTGTATATGAATGTATGCTCTAAAATGGTTGTTCTGTGTTTGACATGCCATTGAGTTATAAGCATTTTCCAAGCAATATTATATAATTTACTTCAAAACATTGAGTGCTTTCTTTATGTGAGCTGACATTTTATACGTTACTCCAAGGATAAAAAATTAGTTCCTGGGTTATTCAAGTTTATTTTTAAACATGAAATTTAATATTTATATTTTACATATTATATTTGTCTCCTTCTGCATTCACTTGACATCGTATTGGCAGCAATTATTTTCATTGTCACGTTTTCCATTTTTCTCCCTAACCCAAACAGCACTTTCTTCGCCAGCCTTCTGTCAACCACTCAAACCTTTTATGTCTACTTGCTTATGGTTGAAACACAAAGATCAAAGCAACTGCAAAGAATGGCTGCATCTAACAGTCAAATTATAAAAATGAATTTTATATTTATCTTTCAAATTCCCAGAAATGAGTTTTGCTGCGCAGAAAGCACAAATTGTTAGTTAAAGTTGTTCTGTGCCTTTCTTGTTTTTGCCTAATTTGAAGAATATGGCCTTTGAGGGGCTTTTCCATGGCTGAGAAAGTTAGAAATAATAGACAAATAACCCACATTATATTGCTAGGGAATTTATGATGATAAGATACGATTTAATTAAGCATTTGAAGGAAAAAAAAGCCCCAATTAAATGTCTCACTTCAGTTTA